TCAGAGAGGCGGAAACGGAGTTCTCGTTGAAGACGATTGGCCGTGCGCCTATATTCGGGCGTGGGATATTTTGCTGCTCTCCGGAAAGCAGCTTTTTTGGCTTTTAATAGGTTGCTAATATGCAGGGGAAGCCCACTATTATTAGCAACCGGGACGACCCTTTCATTCTCCTTAAGGGAGGTTTTAATAAGGGTGGAGAGTGAATCGAACGCGGTGTCGATTTTTTCAGGACTGTCTAAGTCCGAAGATAGGGAGATGGGGGAGTCCTGTGAGTCCAGAGCTTTCGCTAGGGACTCCTTGAAGCCCTTCCAATTTGTGAAGGTTTTAGTAGAGGGTGTTGGGAGTGGTGGCTGATGGCCAAGAATGAGAGAGACCGGTCGGTGGTCGGATCCTAGATCGTCTAGTGTCTCGATTGCCCTAAGGTTGAGAGAAACTCCTTTGAGTAACGCAAAATCTAGTACATCGGGGGCATAGTCGGTGTTATCGGGAAAGTGAGTAACACCGAGAGGACTGTGGACGGTAATATCAAGAGACTGCGTGATATCGAGCAGTAACTTGCCACTACGGGTGGTAGTACGGCATGTCCATTCAGTATGCTTGGAGTTAAAATCTCCAAACATAATGACTGAATTGCCTAGAGATAAAATAGCCTCAAAATCTTTTTTGAGGGGAAGGGTTTTAGAAGGGATGTAACAGGAGGCTATGAAGATGGACTGATGTCCAGTCATAGCTAGCCTGCATACCGTGGCTTCCATGTTGGAAAGTTACGGAGTAGAAATGGGAGAACAGTGAAGTGTCTTCTTGTAATAAATGGCCGTACCGCCGCCTCGGCGGTCGGGTCTATCATTACGAAGAAGAGAGAAGTTTTTGATGGAAAGGCCTTTAGGGTCCTTAGTATTGAGATTAGTTTCCTGTAGGAGGAGGAAATCGGTTTCACGATTTTGAAGAAAGAGCTTAAGCTCTGGGAGGTTATTTCGCAAACCGCGAATGTTAAAGGATACAAGCGATAAACCCTTAGGTTTGATACGACCGTGGGATTTTGGTTGAGCAAACTGCTCTGTCATTGTGAGTTAAGTTAATTAAGTTAACTTACAATGAGCACAAAAGATTATGATGCTCTGCAAGAGCGAGGAGACGGTCCTGAGGGGACCTCGCAGCGCGCAATTTGCGTGCTAACACAGCGATTTCCTCAACGTTGATGTTCCTAATTGCGGAATACACCGTTTTTAGGTCATCAGCCATTGAGGGCTGTGATTGTTGTGGTTGAGGGGCGGAGGATGTCCGCGGTGGTACTGCCTTTTTGGGGCCCCAGGGAAAAACTGGAGGCTGCATAGGCTGAGAGAAGCCCGGAGGGGGCCGAATAGTGCCCTGAGGGGGCCTAGGAGGACCCTGAGAGGGTCGAGAGAAGCCCTGGGTGGGCTGAGAAAGGCCCTGACGGGGCATCCGTTGGTAAAGAGCCGGGAATGAGCGGTCATTGACCGGCGGTGGAGCTTGCCTACTGGGGCGAGGATGAGGTGCGCAAGGGCAGCCTCTGTAGTTAGCCGGGTGGCCCGTTTGTTTACACAGGACACACGCGGGTGGGGATTCGGCGTCTTTGGGCCGAGGACACTCTTTAGTGTTGTGGGGTTCAAGGCACTTAACGCACCTGGGTGGGGCGGAGCAGTTGGCCGCCGCATGACCATACAGCTGGCAGCGGTGGCACTGCGCCGGGAACCCGCGCCTATGTGGAGGCTCAACCCTCACTCTCGACAGGCCGCACACTGTGCGTACCTGCCGGAAGATGGCTTTCGCCTCCGGCACGTTGGTTAAAATTACTAGGGCAAGAGAGAACCTCTGGCCTGTTCTACTGTGCATTTTGTGCACGGCTTCTACGGGGAAACCTTGGGACTTAAGGTCTTCAAGGATTTCTTCGTTTGAAAATTCGAAGGGGACGCCGCGGATGACGGCCCTGACTTTGCGCTCTTCCGGAAGAGCGTATGTATGATAAGAAACTCGTTCGGCTGTGAATAGCCTGGTGAGTCGCCGGAAGTCGTCGATTGATTGGGGGATGATCTTAATAGCCTCCCCGAGGTTGATGGCGTGGTCATATTTTATGCCTGCGTTGTAGCAGGTTTTGGAGAGTTCTGTGAATTTAGCCTTGTCTCTTAGGAAGACAGGGGGCGGGACTTGCTTCTTGGCAAGGACTGGAGCACAGCGAGAGGCTGGCTTGGTCGGAGCGGGAATGTCTAGTGACATAAGTGGGGCTGAGGCAGCGGCGGGGGCTGCGGGGGCAGAGGCGGCAGCGGGAGCTGCGGAGGTTGAAGGAGCGGCAGGGGCCGCTGAGACAGGGAGGGTGCGGTTTTTAGCGGCGCGTTTACCGTTGCGCTTGGAGTTCACCGTGGTGAACGAAGAATCCCCGGTTCCGTCGGAGTCACAGGACTCCGATGAGCCGGTGCCAGAATTGGTGGCGGGCCTCTTCCGGGAGGCCGATGCAGAGGACTCGGAGCATGCGTACTCCATTTCTAATGGGGCGAAAGAGTTCTTTGTCGCTAGGTAGGCCGCAAGTACGGGCGGCGGTTGGAGTGCCTGACGGGCAGGGGGAGTAACATGGGCGGCGATGGCGGCAAGGGCCGTCTCATCGAGGTTTAGGCCCAGACCAAGAGTTTGGTTTAGGGCGGCGACGAGGGACTTAATTTGGGTAATTGTGGACATGTTGAGGGCAGTAGTTTTACGAAACGTATTTGATATGGAAGGGGCTAGTGGGTGCTGTTCTGAAAAGAACAGAGACTTTATGTACCTAAACAGTAAGGGCGGGATCACCGTTCTGAGAAGAACGGGACGTTCTTAATTCTAGGAGTAAGTGCCCCTGCTCTCAAAAGAGCAGGGCCTTGCTCTGAAAAGAGCAAGTAACTCCCTAGAAACAGTATATACACGCACACGTTATACAAATAAATAACGAAAACAAAATTAGAAATAGTTAACAAAAGAATTAACAATAAAAATAACAATAACAAGCAAGACCAACAGTCAAACCGCCCCGCCCGGAGACAGGGAGGTAATAACTGGAGTTAGCGTAAAATGACTCACCAAGGCGTCGACGCTGTAAGCGCGAGCAGGACAGCGGAGGCGCTAGAGCGAGAGAGCACTACCGTACGGGGACGGATGCGCGGACTACCTGGACACGACCGCTCGAGAGCGGTGCCACAGGCGGAATCTTTTTTTAAACTCGCGACGTTCCTTTATATAGCCAGCATCGATTCGCCACTAGGTGGGGTGGGGATCGCGAACGCAACACGTTTGCGCGGTCGGTCCGGTCAGACTTTTAGTTAGTTGGAAAATCTCAAGTCAGAGTTGGGAGTTGGGAGTTGGGAGTTGGGAGTCGGGCAGTCGGGCGAGGGCGAAACGAATGTACTTGTAAAGAAGAAAAAAAGAAGAATACTAGGTAGCAGCAATAGGATATAACGCGTTAGAATAGAATAGTATAATATATCGTCGTCGAAGAGGAAGAAAAACGAAAAACTGTAACAAGAAAATTAGGGAGTGTGAAAGTGATAATATTATTTATATACATAATATTATACGTGTTACGTTCGTGTAGGGTCTCGTCGCGTCGCGTCGCGTCACGTCGCGTCGCGTCGCGTCGCGTCGGTCGGTCGGTCGGTCGGTTCGGTTCGATTCGATTCGATTCGATTCGGTTGTGTTATCTATTTTACCTAGGCACCTATTAAAATTTTTTTAAAAGTGTGAACGTAGTACGTTGAATTCGTTGAGTAGGTGGTGTGTATATATATATATATATATATATATATAGAGGTATTTAGTGTTTCGTAAATTGTTGTAACGCATTTACGACGCATCTACGTTTATTGTTTTAATATACGTGTATTTAGCTTATTCGAATTTATATACCTACTTAGTTAAATCGTTATCGTGTGTTCATAAGTTGTGCGTTCGTTATTTCGTTGCAATGTTTACATAATTACATAATATTTTATATTATATTATATAGAACTGCCTGACAGACTGATTTGATTGAAGTGAGGGACGGTGCGATATATATAATATAGGTAGGTAATATATATAATAAGGCAATCATTATGATTGACGCGTGACGTATAAGAAACTCATAGGAAATTTTTGTTAGCCCTGAAAAGGGCTTTTTAGCATTGCGGTCGCTCGCGCATATTCGTATACGACGCGACACACGTACACCATTTATTTTTATAGGTATTATTTATAAGAATAAAATAAAAATAAATAGGCCCGATGCCGCGGCGCTACGAGGCACTCGCGTTCACCCGCGAGGATCCTTCTCCCGTCCCGTCCGTCCCGTCTTGCTGTCACTCTGCCTGCCTGCTTGCCTTCCTACCTACCTACCTACCTACCTACCTACCTACCTGTCTCTCAGCAGCATCAGCCTGCATGCACTACACAATCACATACGCGCGTGACAATTACGCGTACGAGTACGTACGTAGGTAGGTACGGCGGCGGTGGTTATGACGACGGAAGGCGGTGACAGCGGACCTTACTTTTTAGAAGCGGCTGCCTTCTTCGATGCCGCCGCGGAAGGCTTCGATTTGGGTGTTGCCGCCTTCTTCGGTTTTGGAGCCTTAGGTTTCTTTGTCGGTGGTTTGGCGCTCTTTTTCGCCTTCGAAGCGGCGCCTTTCGCCTTAGAAACGCCGCTTTGGCCAGCGGTTGCGGATTTTCTTGCGGCTGCCGGCTTCTTTTTCGCGGCGGCCGCCTTCTTGTCCTTGGTAGCTGCAGACGGTTTTGCCTTAGACGGTGATGATGCGGTCGCTGCCGATGCTGTCTTTTTACCCTTACCCGCGGCGGTGCTCTTCTTCACCTTCGCCGACACCGAGCTAGCGGCGGACGCGCCGCTCTTTGCGCCACCGCTGCTCTTACCCGTCGACGGTTTCTTAGAGGCGGACGATTTTGATTCAAGCTTAAAGGAACCGGAAGCCCCCTTGCCCTTTGTCTGTATAAGCGCACCCGATTCGACTGCGCTCTTCAGGTACTTTCTGATGAACGGAGCTAGTTTTTCAGCGTCGACTTTATATTGAGCGGCAATATATTTTTTTATCGCTTGCAAAGATGATCCACTGCGCTCTTTCAGCTCTTTAATTGCGCTGGTGACCATTTCGGAAGTCTTCGGATGAGTGGGTTTCGCCTTGGGCTTCTTTGCACCACCTGCTGCAGTAGCGGCGGCCTTCGGTTTTTTCGCCGGAGTCGCCGGAGCGGGAGTTTCGGAAGCTACTGCTGTATCTGCCATTACTTCGTAGTAGTAGTATTAGATCACAAACGAACTACAAACACTGACTCACACAACTCGCGATAGATGATAATAACAAAGGAAAATTGTAAATTGTTGTTATATATCGTACACAAATTGATATTACGTAGGATAATACACAGGTGGCGACAGTGGTGGTTCATCTCCTTGTGGAGGTTTTCATGTGTCGAGGAGACCCTCTTTACATGGGCGGCATCTCAGGAGGACACGACCCCCCGGTCTTGGGTGCTGCGTTGGCAGCTTATATGTAGGTGTATTGCGCACCTCGCGCCATCACGTCGAGTGTCGGGACGCTCACTCACCCCCGGCGTCCCCTGTGCCGGGCAGTGAGCGTAGAAGTTCACGTGGGAGTGGTCGCCCGTCAGGTGGGCGGGCGTGGAGGGGAGCAAGATTTTGAAGGTGAAGGTGTGGCCCGTTGTCTGCGCGGTCGAACAACCGTCTCGCAGAACGGACCACAAAATCGTGGATGGTTTCGACCTTGAGGTCGCGAGAAATGATGTCATTCCTGACGTAGCGACCGGCTCCCACGATCACCCGGAGCGCAAGATTTTGCTGGGCCTGCAACCTCTTGCGCTGAGTGGCCGAGGTCAACGCGTACCAGGCTGGTGCTGCGTAGGTCAGCCGCGAGCGGATGTAGGTTTTGTAGATACCTATTTTCGTTCTTGTTGGGAGTTTGGATGCCAGTATAGGGTATAGTTTCGCTCGCGCCGCTCTGGCCTGTCTCACAACGTGGTTGACCATCGGGGTCATGCGCAGCGAGCGATCTATCTGGCATCCTAGGTACGTAATGGTACTACTCCAACCCACATCCTGCCCGCGGAGTTGCAGAGTTGGTGGTGTTCTGGCCAGCCTGGTCATGAAGGCGACGGTCTTCCCGACATTGACCGCCAGCCTCCATTTGTCCAGCCACTCAGGCAAGAGGTCGAGTACCCGCTGCAATTTCTTAGCAGCTATGTCCACCCGACGTGATGACGCGAAGTACGCACTGTCGTCGGCGTACAAGGCTAGGACAACGTCATCCTCCCATTCCTCCAGATGGCCTTGGAGGGTGGGGATGTCGTTGGTGTAGACCGCGTACAGGTGCGGTGATAGGCAGCTGCCCTGTGGCACTCCCGCAGAAATCGGTCGTGCCGCCGAAACAGCCCCTTCCAAGGAGACATGGAAGCTCCGCCCCTCCAGGAATGACGCTATTAACCGCACAAGCATGGGCGGTAAAGTGGTGTGCTGAATGAGTTTATAAACTAGCCCTGCGTGCCACACCCTGTCGAAGGCCTTCTCCATGTCGAGAAGGACCCCCACACAGATGCGGCCGAAGTTATATTCGGCCGCAAGATGGTGCAGCACGCGGGCCAGCTGAGACGTGGTTGAATGTCCCCTGCGGAAGCCAAATTGCTCCTCCCGCAGGGTAACATGTGGGAGTACCCTATTCAGGGTGATTTTTTCGAAGAGTTTTGCTATGTGCGGCAATAGCGTTATGGGGCGGTAGCTGGCCGGGAACCTCCTGTCTTTTCCCGGCTTCGGCAGCACGATGATTCTGCCCTGCTTCCAGATGGTCGGGAAGTGGCCAGTCCGTAAGATGCCATTGTACAGACTGGTGAGTGCCACTATTACCCTTCTGGGCAGCTGCTTTATGGCTGTGGTGGTGATGCCGTCGTAACCCGGCGCTTTACGGCTAGGTAGGCGCATAATAGTGCGCCTTACCTCTGCTGGGGATATGAAATCGCCGCCTCGCAATGGCGGCGCCGGGTTAGAGAGGTATTCCCGTACGCGGTCCTCTATGCCTTGTACGTGGTCTGCGTACCCCTCTGCTATGCTGTTGGGTATGAACTGTTGTTCTAGGTGCTGTGCCATCAAGTCCGCTCTAGGTTGGGCGTCGTAGATCCTACTCCCCGTGCTGTCCACCAGTGGGCAGACAGGTGGTGGTGTCTTGGAGAGCTGCCGGTTGAGGAGATGCAGGGAGGCGGGTGTCTCCGAGGCTTCGTCGACTCGCCTCTCCCATGCTTCTCCCCTGTAAGCTCTCATTGCTTCCGACAGCTCTTCCGTCATAGCGTTTAATTTGGTTTTGATCCGTGGGCATCGTGTCCGTGCCCAGAGCCTCCTCATCTTCCGCTTTTCGGATAGAAGCGTTTGCAGATTGCGTGGGAGTCCCTCCTTCCCGCGCCCCGTGGCGACAGGGTGAGAGTGTAGTTGGAGTTGCTCTTTTATAGTGTTGTGAAGATGTAGGGCCGCAGTCTCTACATCTTCACTGGTGGTAATTGGGGCGCAAGGTTGGAAATCCTCCAGCGCACTACAAAAGCGGGTCCAATTTGTCTTCATTCGGAGACTTCTGGGCACCATGGCATCCACACTGATGTCGATAGTAATCAGCACGGGGAGGTGTTGTGTATCTATGTCATACAACACTTCTAACCGTGTTGTATACGGCACTAGATGACACAGCACAATGTCAAGAACATCGGGCTTATGTTCTGGCTTTGTCGGGATATGGGTGGGCTCATCAGGGCCCAGCACCTCGTACCCCCACTCCTCGGCGTCGTCGAACAGTTTCCTGCCGGGTGGTGTGATCAGCGCGGAGCCCCAAGCGGGATGTTTCGCGTTGAGGTCTCCGGCGATTATTGCGGGTGTCGTGGAGTCAAATATGGTACGTATGTCTTGGGGGGCAAATGAGGTGCCGGGAGGTCTGTAGGCAGCAAAGATTCTAATTTCTCTGGTGCCTACCTTCAGCCTTATACCCTTGGTTCTGGTGGATGTAAACTGTGTATTGGTGCCAACTTCTTCGTGCATGACGTCCCTCCTCACAAGGACCGCAGTACCTCTGTACGCGATACCTTCTGAGGAGATCTCGTCATGTCGGTACACGAAGAAGTTGGGGAGTTTTAATTGAGCAGAGGGGCGCAGTTTGGTCTCCCCCAGCAGCACAATTTGGATATTGTGCTGCTGGACCAGGGTTCTCAGGTCGGCGACCTTCCCTAAGATGCCGCCGGGGTTCCAGTAGACCATCCTAAGTTGATGGCCTGCTGACAGATGTTAGTTGGGCTAAGGCCGTTAAGATGGCCGAAAGGGGGTTGGTGCCGGTGGTCATGGCAGTCAGGACCTCTCCTAAGATCCTGATTACCACGCCCACCAGTTGAGCGAGGGCCTCCTCGATGGTGGTTGGTGCCTGGGGCTGTGATAGGGGTGTAACAGTTATTGTCCTTTTGGGTGGGCGTTGATCTCGGGGTTGGGGTGCAGATTGCTCGTTCTGATTTGATGGAGGGAAGGTATATCGCAGTTGTGGCAGTGGTAATCGCTGTTCATTGGTGGTGTTGGGTGGAGGAAGAGGAGTTGAAGTACCACCCACTTGAGCTGTTTGGGTGGTTGCCTTCTTCTTCTTCTTCTTCTTGCCTCTTTTCCTCTTTGGGCGCTCTATGCGCTCCGTGGGATCATTCGCCGGTGGAGCTAATGTCGCCCCAGTCGTCGCGAATGTAGTAGGCGCTGGTGCTAATGTCACCTGCCGCTGCTGCGGTTGAGGCGCCTGGTGTTGTGGTTGTTGCTGTTTTTGCAGCTGTTGGGGTTGGAATTGTGTTTGTCTTTGGGGCAGTGGTGGTTGCCACTGTTGTGGAGGTGGTTGTTGCGGTGCTCGTGCTGGTTCGCGCTGCGGGGGCATGGGAGGCTGTATGTTGATGCCTCTTTTCCTCGCAATTCGCTGCAGCACTGGGCATCGCCTGTCGTTTGCGGCGTGATCCCTGCCGCAGTTGGCGCATTTGGGCTGTGTATCTCTCGGTTGTGGGCAAGCAGAGGCAAGATGGTCACCCGCACAGCGTACACATTTGAAGGGCCGGTAGCAGTTGTAAGATGCGTGTCCGAACCCTTGACACCTGTGACACTGCGCAGGGCCAATTCTGCCTGTCCAGCCTTCAATTGTAACTCCCGGCATGTAAAGGAGCTCATCAATTTTGTACAATCTGTTGAGCTCTTCAGGACTTAGGTGGTTCATCTTTACATGAAAGAGGCAGCCAGGCCTGCCTCTTTTTGGTGGTATTGATCGGACAAAAGTAACAGGGAAGCCCTTCTCTATGAGGGCCTCCTGTATGTCCTTAGGGTCTGTATCTGCAGGGAGCCCTCTTAACCCCACCTTCGTGGGTTGCTCCTCCTGTGGGGCGTAGCAATACCACACGAAGGTGGCATCCTCCTTGCTTTTATCGATGAGGTAGCGCTGGACCTTCCTATATTCGTTATCGGACTGGGGCCGAAAACGGACTCCCTTTCCAAATGGACGAGCATTAGGGGCGTGGCCCAGAAGTTGGTGTAAAATTTTGAAGTGCTTCGCCCAATCGGGGAAGCACTCCACTATAATAGGAGGGTATTTGGCCTGGTTATTTACTGGCTGTTGTGGTTTTTGTGCAGGTGGTGGTGGCGGTGATGGTGGCGCTGATCTTGGCGCTGCTGCAATTTGCGCATAGGAGTCCGGCGCTGAAGAAGGCCCAGGTATGGGCTCCTGGTTAGCAGGTTGGGAGTCTAGTATTGGGGCTAGAGTGGCGTAGGACGTATTGTCCCACTCTCTCTCCCCTTCCGGGTCTTCCTCACCGAAATCCTGCATGTCAGCGGTGCAGGCCGGAGAAGTGGTTGGAGACGGTGAGTTTGGCGGAATGTTATGCCTTACCACAGATTGTGGGGCTTGTCTCTCGGGTGGGGTTACCGAGGAAGGAGGCGATGCCGAATCAGATAATGAGTCTGATCCGGCTCTCAGCCTTTTCTCCTCTTGGAGCTGGTCTTCGTCTATTTCCGGAGGTGTACGTCTCCGCGAGGCTTGGCTCCGGCGTGGTAGTGGCGCCGGTTCGACGCTAGGTGGAGGCACAGCTTCACCAGCGCCGAGCGCGGCGCCAGTGGCCGATGAACTACCTATCCGCCTCGGGAGTTGGCTATATGGTGGGAGCACTCTGGATCTCTCAGGAGCGAAGAGGTCTCGCTCCATGAGGGGCCTGTCGAGTACTCCCGGA